TTCGCCGAGCGCTTTATCTGGAAGATGTTCATCAGGCTGAACTGACTGGCCAGTTCAAGAGGTATTTTCTTTATTTTGGTCTAGTATGGAGTTTTTATGCGTTTTTGCCGTGCAGCGCTAGAGCGTTGCAACAGGCAGCAAAAACGCATATTACAACGACCGTGTCAGTGTGTGTGAGTATGTTTGTGTGTGTGTTCGGGTATTTCAACTCTCTAACCAAGCAAGCTTTAAAGCTGAAATTTCGCCAGCGTGTTCCCCAGCCAGGTTCCACCCCAGGGCCGCGGTTTCAACAGCCACGCACGTCTGGGCCCGGCGTACGAGCACGAGAAAGTTTTGGCGCGAAAATCGCTAACTCGGAAACGAGAAAAGCTAGAAAGCTGAAACCTTGGGAGAATGTTCCCTACTCATGTGTGACAAAAATATTTCAAATTCAGCTGCCCAGGAGTGCCCGGGGTTTACGAACGGGCACGTGAAAATTATGGCGGGAAAATTCATAACTCGAGAATGAGAAAAGCTAGGAAGTTGAATAACGGCACGTGAAAATTATGGCGGGAAAATTCATAACTCGAGAATGAGAAAAGCTAGAAAGTTGAAACTTGGGGATGTTCCATACTCATGCACGACCAAAAGTTTTCAAACTCAGCTCCTTAGGACCATCAGGTACTCACGTACGGGCACGTAGAAATTTTGGAGCGAAAATTACTAGTCCAGGAACGGGAGAAGCTAGAAAGCTGAAACTTTAAGACAATGTTCCCTACTCATGTGCGAGCAAAATCAGGTGTTTAGAAGCGCCCGAGCTCACATATGAGCGCGTGGAAATTTTGGCGCGAAAATTATTAATCCGGGAATGGGAAAAGCTAGAAAGATGAAACTTTAGGGTAATGTTCCCTACTCTTGTATGAGCAAAAGATTTTTAATTCAACTTTTTAAAACCGTCCAGTATTCATGTACGGACACGTGAAAATTTTTGATGGGAAAACTGCTAACTCAGAAACGGGAGAAGCTGAAGGCTTTAGTTTTAAGGGAATGTTTCCTGCTCATGTGCGACTGAAAGATTTTAAATTTTGCTCTTGTATGGCCTTTTTTTGCGGACCAGCATCTTCCCATTTGTCGGGTCACTGATGTCGACACCTACAACTAACATATCACATACTTGCACAATTAACTTCCCGAACTTCGAGGGCCAGTGTTTCACAGGGTTAACTACTTTGATTCCTTGCGATCTTGCTACGGCACGAAAAGTGCAAAAACGCATAATCGCATCCTAGCTGACCCGCTTGGTGCGTTCCAGCCTGGGTTTTTTTCGGGTTACTCATCTCAGTTTTGCTGTGATCTCGACTCTTTCTGCGCTTTATTATCGTTTTATTTTCATTTTAGAAGCAGAAAGAAACTGACTGGAAAAGTGCTGAGTTTGAATTCTGTGAATTGAAATGAGCAATTTTTGCATACTGAGAACCGTGTTTTACTTCCTAATGACTCGACTTCAGCATCGAGAATTTTTGGAAAATTATTTCTGTCGGGTGGGCAACAACTAACCGTTTTGAATGTTTTCATTATTTTGAAAACTAGTTCTTTCCTATTATTACGTACGTTCCCATTTGTGCATAAAAGCCAAATGGAAGAGATTCTTAATAGGTAATTTTCTCAAAATCAGTGTGACCGCGCCTGAATTTTTTTTAAATTTGCTCTTATTTATCACTAGCCGACATGATTGTTCGTATTTCTGGCGTGGGATAGCTTGGATTCACTTAGACATGTTATTTTTGTAGGTTTATTCGTGATTTTTTTAGAACGAAGGGGATGCAAAATGGCTTGCTCCGTTGTCCCTACCAGTTTCAGTATTTTTGGCATGTTATATGCAAGAAGACTTTATTAAAGGTATTTTTTCTTATATTCTCTTGAAAACGCGGCTTTTAATACCGGATTTCAGTGACTCTTAACTTCAAGCTGTAAACAATTTCGCTGCCCAAATATGTTTTTGCTTATTTCGAATTTTCAGCTGCTTGTCTGCTCACCTTTTCAGATTCTGGGACTTCTGTTTTATGTGATGACTGGATTTGTGATGTGGAGTGAATGCACGTTTTTCATAATACATCCACGTCTGTCGCTTGCAGCCCAGTTTGTCCATTTAGCGGCGCACGGCTACCATTATCTTTATATTCAGGTTGATTTTTATGTTTCACATCGTGCTGGCGATAAAGTAAGAAAGATTTCGCAGATGAAGTCGTACGCAATTTTCAATTGTTGCAAGCAAAGAGCAGCACCCAGCGGCAAATAAAACAGCTCTTGTGCAGGAGATCGAGAGTTCGATTTCCACTTGGAAAAAGCAGTCCCTCTACTACTTTTTATTCGTTTTAATAGCAAACTTCTGCTGGTTCCCTCTAAGAAATTAAAGCTTGCCGTCAGCTTGCTTTTAACTCTCAGAAGAGGAGACCATCAACTGGCTTGCTCGTGGACGCTGCTGTTTTTATGTTCTGCTACTTCAGCTATTTCCGTCTTTCACAGAGAGTGAAATATGGAAGCTTTTTGACTTTTATTATTAGTTAGTGACGAATTTATATGCCTATTTATCCATTATTATGCGTTTTTGCAGCTATGCAATGCAGAAAACGCATATTGACAAGAGGTTGTCTGCGTGTGTGTGTGTTTGCGTGCGCGCTGCGCGTTTGTACCGATTTTTCATCTCGAGACTCACAGAAGCTACGGGGCTGAAACTTGGGGAACTTAATCTACATTTGTGTGCAGGCTCCCATCGCCAAAATGGGCGCTGTTACCCGCGTGGTACCCACGTGCAGGCCCACCAAAATTTTTTTCGAGTAAGTTGTTAACTCGGAAACCTGAAAATCTAGAAGGCTGAAATTTTAAGGGGATATTCCTCGTCCAAATTGGTATTAATGAGTTCAAATCCAGCTCTGGAATATGCGTGGTACCACGTACAGGCTTGTGAAATTTTTTCGCGGTTTAGTCGCTAACTCGAGAACCTGAAAGCTAAAAGACTGTAATTTTGCTGGGATGTTCCTCACCCAGGCATGTCTCAACGAGCTCAAAGCCAGACATCTGGTATGCGTGGTACCCACGTACGGGCCCGTGAAAGTTTTTTTCGAGTAAGTTGCTAACTTAGGAATCAGGAAAGCTAAAAAGATGAAATTTTAAGGGAGTGTTTCCTCACAGTTCTGGCAGCCAGTCTTAATGTGTTTATCTACAAGCATTTGCCAGAAAAACCAGTGGCGGCAGCGACAAAAACTGCGGGAAACTATGCAAAAAACGCATCTTTGCACGGGCAGCTCGTGCGTTGGCCAATCATTTTTTATATGGAGCCCTTGCGTCGCCTGTTCAGTTTTCTCCTTTTTTTCAGATCTGTGCAACTGCAATCATTTCATATCTCTGTGTTTGTGCATATTATACAGTTTTCAAACTCCGGATTTATCGTTATTATCGCCTGGATCCACACCACATCACCGATGAAAATAGCTTATTGTTTAGCGCTATGTAAGTGTAGTGGCGAGTGAGCAGAAGAATCAGAATTAATTTGAAAACCTTACATTCATCACATTTCGCAGCAGAATATATTCATCTTCGCTCACTGTCTTCAATAATTTCAGAGAAAATCTTATTTCCAGTGACTGTGGTAGTGAGAGTATGCTGCCGCTTTCATTTATTTTACTGATAAATTGCTCCAACTCCAAGCACTTTTTGATTCTGAGGCGCAAATTCCCTTGAGTTTTCTGCGTAAGCATTTGGCAAAAAAGGATGTGAACCAGCGATAGCAGTGTTGTGAGGGAGAGAGATTTGGAGAAAGGGAAGAAAGAGGTGCTGATGAGGGCAAATAAAACGTCACGTAGTTGTGTTAGGGCATTCGGCTTCTCGGTCGGGAGCAATCAGATTGGCAGTGGTGAGGAAGAAACTAAGTGACGTTTTATTTTTCCTCTCCGGCAGATAATGAAGAAAGAGTTTCTTCGCTACTTCCCGGGGGGAGAAACTACGGCGAAGGACCTGAGAGTTTCAGAATATAATTTCATCTCTAACAATCTCATTTAGCTTGCTATGTCGTCTTACTCCGCCAATATGCTTGAATGTACTGGGGATGATCCATCTCGATTCACATATTACTTCGGATACGAAATTTGGGGTCGAAACGCAGTTCACGAAAGTAAGCTTGCCTATTTATGCTTGTGTGATCGATGTTTCAAAATTTAAAGCTGTTTTATGAAGTTCTTTTACAGATAAAAAAGCGAGTGTGGCTGTGGCTTTTCCGTTTTCATTAGCTTTAATAGTGAAGTATGAAGATTGGAGTTAATTGTCATATATAAGAAGACATTTCACGATGCAATCTATGTTTCATCCCTTAGCTGTATACACAGACCGAACAATGCATACGGGTAGGAGTGGGAATCGTCAGTACAGCCTGCCACCCGCCTTGTATTGAAAAGACATGTAACTAATTTGCAAGAAGGTTAAGTGAAAGAGAAGGAGAGGAAGTGTAATAGCATGAAAGTAATAAAATTGATGGAGCAGATGGAAGAGGAGGAGACTAACATATTCTATGTAAATTATGAGGAGGCAACATGAGAATAACTTACTAACTAAGCTTTTAATTCCTACATCATCGGGGTAGATGAATTTAAAACGCTTCTGCTTGCTTTTAACCAACTTGCTGTAGGACGAGGCATCAGTGATCTTATCCGAGAATCATTGGTGTTGGCGGGCTGCCATCATCAGTTGTCGTTATTTCCGATTTTCTTGGCCTTTCACTCAGCTGGGCTTTGACTTTTTTCAAATTCGTCTCTTTTGACAGCATCTGCAGTGCAGTGCGTAGAAATTTCAATGTCAAACGGATATAGTGATACTATAAAAAGAATGAAAAGCTGTGTGGGGAAAAACCGGTAACACGTCGTTCTTGTTGCAGCTAATGGGACATTTGGATGTAATTCCAATTTTGGCAAGAGGAATCAATATTTATCTTCCCATTTTGATCGTTCTGCTTGCTCTCGGCACATGGCTTAGGTTAGTTATTGATACTGCGACCCCCACGCATGCTTTTATCCGTCACATTGTTTTACATAACACTTGGAGATACATGTACTATTTACAAGTTGACGCTGAAAGTGATTGCAGCTGAAACTCAGCTGGAACTCAATGATCACGGGTAACAGACTTGGCCTTTTGCTTCTTCTTCGCTAACTAGATGGCAATACTCGACCAGCCCTATGCTTCTCGTTTACTGTGTTTGGTTCGGCTCGTGGAGTGTCACTCAGCCTGTTTAGATATTTCCGAAGTGATAGTTCATTTCGGCAGTCCTTGAATTGGTGCATAGATAGCATTCTGGGCCCTGAATTCCTGGTGTTGATTATTAAAACTAACTTATAAGCAGATCGTGTTTAGGTAAATTCTCAGAAAAAAAAATACCTAAGAAATATTTTTCCTACTGTTTTTTTTTTCTTTATCGTTACCTATGTTTTTTTCTTTCAAACAAATGGTTCTTTACAACAGTCCAACTCTCTCAGACATTCGATACTTCTTCACAATAGATAAAGCAGTCTTCTGTGTGCTATACTTCTGTTAATCACGGAAATTTTGCTGTTTTTTGCGTTTCACCCAGTTAAAATGATTATCAAATTATTCGTTTAGACTAGGTACTCGATTTCTGCATTCGCTTGGCATCGATCAGTTTGTGGGCGACGATG